TTTAGGGTTGTATGGATTATATTACTTAGGATTGTATGAGTGTTTAGGATTATATATATATAAAATCAGCTGTCTTCTGTACCATGTCCATTCCTTTCATTAAACAACTGCAAGTGAGGCAGGCAGTATAAGAAATGTACTGTGTCAGAAACATAAGGAAATGATGATGATACCATGCCTGGCCCACAGGAGCGTGAAGAATTTAACAGCTACCTTTGATGAAAGGACAGCCGGTAGAAATGTTTCATTAGAACGGTGGTTCTCAACAAGGACAGTTCCCCCTACAGTGGAACATTTAGCAATAGCTGAAGTCCTTTTGCTTGTCACAGTTGGGGAATGTTACGGGGTCCAGCAAGTAGAGGCGGGGGTGCTTCTAAACATTGACGGTGCCCCAACAGGTCCTGGCAGCAAAGATTGACACAAGCTACGATGTCAGTAGTGAAGAGGCTGGGAAACTCAGTAGTAGCAAAAGCGTTAAGGAAGTGGAAAAGGGAAAGTTAAAAGGCAAATGGGAGCATTTGGATCAAAAGACAGAGGAGCATGTGTGTTTGTACACATTTCACTTGCATATGTATTACTTTTTTCACTTCAAACACTCACTTCAAAGTTCCAAGAAATGTTTTTTTAAAATTATACTAATAGTAGATTTGACTAGTAAATGTTTTAAAGCACCCAAAGGCTCAATCAGTACTGATGTGACACTGTAATATTCTTAGATTGTGTCGTGAAAATTTTATCTTCCTTCACAAATCACGTGTGACTTAGTAATGGGGCAACAACAACCTTGTTTAACCTTCTTGTCTCTAGCAAAGCCAAGATCTTGCTAAGACTTCAAGTCCATTCCTTCATTTTTTATCCTGTTACATCAGCTCCTACATGAGATTCGGCTGCACTAGACCGTCTCAGTGGTCTTCTAGCTGGTCTCTAATCTTACTCCAATCTGATCTGTTGTGTCTACCACTGCCAAGGTGAATCAGCTTAAAATGTGCTCTCGGATCCTCCCAGTTCCTGACCAAAGCCCGCCTTTGGTCTGCTCTGCCCCAGCCAGTGCTGGGC